GTGAAAACACGATTGTAGCGATTGTGTATCATGCTTCAAGACAGTGTCATCAATAAATTTATTTGTCGGTTTAAGAACTTGTAGCTAGGTTTTATTGATAGCAAAATAACAAACCAAAGGAATTTTGTTCCAAATGTATACAGTCCTTAACTAAAATAAGTGAGCAAACTGAGCCAATGGCACAGCTATATAATTATTGATGGTTTTTAACAGTCAGGGGTCAAAATTTACTCGAGACATGACAAATCACATCCAAAGAGCTCAGTCCTGCTCATAATCACCGCACGTTAAACTTTCCGCAACCGTTGGTGAGTGTCTTCCTCTTGGCTACAAATGTTCATTAGTAAAGTGGTAATTTTATAGTCCTCTAACGCACCTCTTTTAAGTCTGAGATGTTCAATTTTTACATGAAAGTCCCATAAAAAGGAGGGTAAGGGAGAACTTGCCACCTCGATTAAGAGATCGAGAGCCACTTATGAGGAGGAACTGCAATATTAGATATATATCTTCACACTTTTGATAGATCACTTACATTCGGCACTGAAATGATGCAGCCAGTTGAGCTTAGTAAGAATGGTTAGGATGATGGCTAAGAGTAGTAATTTTTTTCGGTTTGACTGCGGAGGTAAGTGGGTATAAATTACGGGGCTGCCATCTACCATCAGCCGCTCAGAACACTGTAAAAATGCTTAAATTTGGGCTCTCATAGGAGGACCTATCGTCCCGACGGATGATGTGCATGTGGACACATTCATGGAGGTATACTTTTCCTCAGAAACTCAATCTATTTGGAATGAATGCCATACCTTATGAGATGAACCAACTAATTATATCAAGGGCATGCACGACTGTGTACACCCGTATGCGTTCAATACGCTAACCAACTCTGAAACGATGCAGTGAAATGACTCTTCTCAGTTAACTGCTTTGTTCTAGGGAGAACCATGGTCGTGTGGTCGATCATAGCTTGGTAAATAGAGCGGTGCGATTGGTAGGATTTTACTCAGCATGAGCCAAACAACTCGCTCTCCTGCACAGGTCCCCCTCTGACACCTTCACTTCAGCATCGGGCTGCTCAGTTACAGGCGTATCCACAGCAGAGCCTGGATTGTGCGTCAATCCTTTCGTGTGTGCAATGGCTAGCAGCCAGTAAAAGCATTAAACAGTGTCATCTTCTGGTCGGAGAGAGCCTTCTAGCATTTAACGCACATAGTGAAAATATCTCAGGTCAAATGCTTTGTTTAATATACAGGGTTGTCTGATCGTTAGGGCCACCACTATAGGTTACACACGCACGCATTTGTGTACTCCACGAAGACATGGCAACAGGTCCAGCTATTGGTATTAATTTAGGGTTACCGCAAAACTGCTTTACGTGGCCGCTATGGATAAAGTCGTATCATCATTGATGCCGCAGAGAACTAGACGGTCATGAACTTTACTAATAGCATGTGCGATGTAAAAGTCTAATTGGGGGTCAATTCACCTATAAATCTTGCAAGGGGTCATGTAGCATAGGCCATTCAAGTTGATAAATTCGAGAGAGAAGCCGGAGATTGAAAATTAATTGCCGTGGCATGTTGCAGCATGTTACTGTGTAGAATGTCTTATGCATGGCATTGTTGAGGGTAAAGGGGACAGCAGAAGCATATTTGGGTAAGAAGGTGGAAAATGAAGTGATCATACTACTAGATTATTTCCATGATAGCCAACGTCACACCATGATTGGTGCCGACAAAATAGAGGCCCTACAATGGAATGGGCAAAGTCAACGAAGTAGGAACTGTTGATGGTGGCATGCGCATGGGTGGTGAAGACCTAAATCCTCGAATTTTAAACTCTGTGCCGAGATGTTCTTGCAAAAATCACAAGGGAAAGAATTTAACGATTAAATTAAAAACCATCAGTCGATCAGGAAAGGAATGTGCGAATGTAAAGAGGAGTTGAAGTTGAATCAGTGCAATAATGAAGGTGTAAAATCGTTGTTTGAAAGCATTAATTTCTCTGCATCCATTACACTAGACAAGGCTTTGCACAAATAAATAGAACAGAAATTTGGTTTAAGGTGAAAATATTACGCCAATACTAAGATGTGTGTTTATTGAGTGTGGCTAATCATTGTTTGTGAAGGAGGGTGTGAGTGAGCACGGTCAATACGGCCTCGGCAAAACTAACGATCCCGCGTTATTTTGACTGTATTTGCAGTGTCATGGTTGGACCGATTTTGAAGCTGGTGCATAATATGACGCCTAGAATTCTATGCACCCTGATAAGGAAGTAAAAAACAAGGTGGCTCCTAATCTTCATCTTTTTTCTATTAGTGATCAACATTTGTCTTAGAGAGTTCCAATTTACTGGTCGGGGATGAGATAGAGTGGGCAGTAGGACAACGAAGATGTAAAGAAAAACCGAAAGACAAAGCTAAATGTTCTATTAGCTTTCCAAACGAAAAAATGGTAAAAGTATAAAAGAGCTTTGCACCTATCATTTTTTCGATAAATAAAAATTGAGTAAATGGTTAACGATTATTTTACCAAGTAAATTAATGCAGAAAGTTTTATAATGTTTTTGTTTATAGCATACACTTCCTAAAACTAGCTGCCTTTCCAAATTCAGCCTTTTTACTAGATATGCATTATATGCATGTATGCATTATTTATTTGCATCGGTTATCATGGCTGTTCTTCAGATGGTCGATTTAGCACTGCATTCAGACCCTAGGGTCAAGCTAATTCATTGACGTGTCTGTTACTCACCATGTTAACAGCTATTCTCCTAATTCAGGCTAGTTCGAACCGTTGAGATCAATGGATTATAGGCGGGCAGATGGATGGATGAAGAGAAGGCAGACAGGTTGGTAGGCAGTACCCTAAGTTCTGTCAATTTATCAATCCACTTAAAGCAAACTGATTTATTATATTCTACTCAAAAAAAGGAAGTAGCAGCGAGTGCAAAGATGACCTTGCCATTCCATGTTTTGGACAACACACTTTTAAAAGAACACAATGTGCTATGATTAGGCCCTTTGCAGAGCGCGTTTAAAGTAATTTGCTAGCAGAATTTGACCCACATTTAAAAACGACTTTTGTGAATTTGATTTATTTGGTCGTAGTTTAAACATGTCAATGTTACCAAATAAAAGTACATGCTGAAAGATACCCCTACTCCTGAATCTGATAAGACTCCTTAAGTTTAAACTAACTTCTTTATAAGTGTAATCATTTGCCAGTTACACAAGATGCATTTTGGCCAAAATTTTATAACACTGGAATTATTTTAATGAAATGGGTAACTAAATTCTCGGTCATTTTTTCGTAAGTCGAAAATTTTTCCCTCAAGAACAAAAGATCATTGATATTAAACGTTTTTCATTCTATCCGCGTATCGTTAGGTGCCACTGTGATGGTTGCAGAATGTTAGTTTCTAAAATTTTTCAGGGATGATGGTTGCTTGTCTGAAGCCACTCAACATTAGTGCCTACTGTACAGTGAGCGGTATTACTAGCGTTGTTCTGTTCTTTTTGGTAAAAATGGACACACTGACATCAGGGTTTGGAATGACTTTGTTAGATGCGTTATTGTCACACACATGTTCACAATGTCAGGTGGGAATCATGGTCTCAGTGACTGCCTCACTGGTAGTCTGCAGAAAGGACTCCTGAAATGGTGTGAAGTAAATGTCTTAAATAAGAATTGATTTTTCTTTTAGATTTCTACTAAGCCATATAAGGTTTACGTTTGTCATACAATATCCTTTTCTAAGGAAATTGAATCGTGGATAGATACATCAACTGTCACTGTAGAGCATACGCATTACCTCATTTTCCTAAAATAGTATTGAAACAAAAAAATCGAAAGAAAATAAATAGGTCTAAAAATTTCGAATTTGTACAGCCCATTTTGCTTGCAAAGGGACTTGATTTTGACCACACGAGCAGTTATTTCCACCTCAATTCTCAGGACGAGCTTAGCTATATGGCACCTGCTCCCAGTTTGTTGTGTTTACTTCCAGTAATATGTCAATTCCTGCATTTATATCCATCATTTTAAGTTCTCTCCGCATTCCATTACTCTTTTAATCATTGGGATCTAGCTTTGCACTCATAAAGTTAATATAGAGGAATGAAATGTATCCTCCAAGACATTGATTCCAACAAATAAACGCCTCGGCCATATTTATCAGGTTAAAACGATAGACGGAGATGGAGGGTTTAAATAGCCGTGATTGGATTTGTAGG